AAGGGGAGGTTAGATACTGGATGAAAATTGTCCAGTTCAGTGGGGTCTAGCGATGGCGCCTTGAGGAGGGGGCAAACCAAGGCCTCCTTAAGAGCTGAGGGAAGAACCCCCTCACTCAAAGATGCATTAACCATCGCTAGAACCCACTCACACAACACCCGCCAGGCAGCTTTAACCAGCCAGGAGGGGATGGATCTAAAGAGCAGGTGGCTGAGCTCACAGCCCCAAGGACCCTGTCCACTTCCTCAGGTCCAACAGGTTCAAACTGTTCCCAGATAACAGGGCAAGACTCCTCCCTAGGCACCTCCACTGGACCTTCAGTAAAGCCAGCATCCAACTGAGAACGAATCCAAGTGATTTTATCCAACAGATGCCGAGAAAATTCCTCCACACGTCCCTGCAGAAGGTTCTCCAAGCCATCCTTACCCAGGAGGGCTCGGGTCACCTGAAACAGGACTGTGGAGTGACTATCTGCAGATGCAATAAAAGTGGAGGAGTAATGACACTTCGCTGTCCTTATTGCCACTAAATAGGTATGAATAGCTGCTCTAACCCGTGTTTGGTCAAATTTGTCCCTCGTCGAGCGCCAGCAACGCTCTAGATGTCTCTTCTCTCGTTTCCTGTCCCTTAGCTCTTCTGTAAACCATGGAGAGCGCCAGGATCCCCGAGAGGAAAGAGATTGCGTGGGTGCGATCTGATCCAAACCCTCAGCCGCCCCTTTATTCCAAGCGGCAACCAAGGCTTCAGATGGACCATAGCTTAGCTGAATACATATCTTGGTAAACTGCAAATCAGTCAGTGTACTTTATTCATTTATGTATTTGGATTTCTTCACCTTCCTCTATAATTAAGGCATGACACATTCTTGAACATTTTAAAAATACAAAAGATAAGAACTCCAGCACAGCAGAACACAGTCCAAAGTACCAAAGCTTTGTTTGTTAACAATTCAAAGATGTATATTGGTTCTCATATTTGAAGCCTTCCTCTTGGAATGTTTAATTTATACAGCTGTTCACATAACGGAGACATGAAAAAGAAAGTTGATCTTGGGTCTGCCAGAATAAAAAAATGCTTCACTGCCATAATTGGGATGTGTGTCTTAATTTGCACTCCAAAAGCAGCCCTTACCTGAAGACTAGATGGATAAGCCTTTTCCATATATTTAGTCATTTGATTGAAATAATTGAAATATTATTTCATTGAGGGGGGCCATTAACAATGTTTTTATTTTGTCCTGTTTTCATTTGTCAGATCCCAATTTACTTGTTTTCTTAAAGTCACGATATGGTACTTGCACAATTAAAGAAGGAGAGAGGAAAAGTGAACGTGAGAGGCCAACAAGGCTTACAGAGCCACAAACATTGTTTGTATCCCAGCCTGAGGCAGCAGAAGCACTGACAGCTACATTCCTACAGGAACCAAACATGGAAGAGGAACCAGGCATGGAGGACTCCCCAAGATCTGAAGCCTCTATGAGAACAGATGCTGCAGGTAACAGAAGGCATAGCTATCAAAGTCAGTGCAGTAACTTACATTTCTGAGCAAAGATGCCAGGGTTTCAGATGTCATATTCATGTTCAGTTTTGCAGGATAATGTCCATTTCACAGTTCAGTCAAACTAGAACAATTGCATTATTTTTTGTTGAGCACCAAAACTTACTGAAGAACTGAGAAGATGCTATTTTACATTGTCTTGATGGGAGGGAAAAACTCTGCCTTTTCTGCCTTCTTGAGGTGGAGAGAAACTGCTTCACTTAACTTTGGGTGAAATCCAGATGAACACTTCTATTAGCTACAAATACTTAGTGGAAGGAGTTTACACATACAGAATGTTATTGGGAATTTTCTAGGGCTCTCTGAAATTTCAAAGGATTGGTTCACTTTGATGCTTAAGGGTTTCTGTACATTTATAAATGACACATCTGTTAGCATTGTCGATGAAGTGCCTGGCTGAACTGAAATGATCTGCCTCAGTGATTCAAGTGGAAGCACCCTTCATGCCCAAGCAACTAGCTATTTTGAGTCAGGATATCATCTTGAATCAAATCTTCCTTCAAAGTGGTTCTGCAGAGCAAAGCAGAGCAGAGCAGCCCTGTTTCTTGCAGGCTAAGAATTCCTGCTCCCTCTACATTTCCCACTCTTTCTCAAAGCCCATCCTGGAGATCCTGAGGGAAGGAGAAAGTCCCAATATACTAGTAAATGCATTAGATTCTCAATACAGTACTAGTTTTTATATTTTGTTCTTTTTCCTGTTGCCTTGTTCTTTGGGAGGGCATATCAGAGAGAAAGGGCATGACAGTTAGAGGTTAGATGCTATTAGACTAACTTTGAACAGCACCTTTCTCTTCTTAAGAGGCCATGTGTCCTTTGGTAGGAATGAGTGTAGGTTGATTCAGTCCTTATCTACTGTTTCCCACATCCAGCATAATATTACCTGCTTCCTATTGATATTTGTATATTGAAGGGGCTTTTAAAAAAACGTTTGTCTTTTTTGGTTCCAATTTTTTTCCCTTCATTCTGAGTCTAAAAAGAGGCCTTGCATAGACATTTATTTATGAAATTTTAATGTGGCTGATCGATGAAGCCCTCTGTACAGTTTACAGAAGTTTCTAATCAAAATTAAAATTAGATTGGCCATGTGCTGCTCCATACTGTGACAAAAAGGTCTTTATCTGGCATCAAAATGATACAGGTCCTCTTTCTAGTAATTAATTGCCTTATCTCATTTGTTAGGGGAGCCTGGAGAAGAGCCTCCAATGAAGACTTTAAGACAGAAGGTTTCTTTCTGCTCCACAGGCATACCGAGCTAGTCAGATTAACCTATTTAATGGGAATACTTCTGAGATAGATGAGATCTGTAGGATTTAAGAATCTTGTCCGTAGATTACCCACTTGACCTTTTGGAGTGCTGTAAAGACTTGGCTTTTTCTGTAGGTATTAGCACCAGGATGTTAGGGGAGCCCAATATATGTGGTTTTGTTTTCCGAATTTATTTATATGGTGTCTTGCTTTTCTTTTGTATTGGATTATTTTAGATTTGGTTATGGTGTTTTTTTTATATTGCTATTTTGTAAACTGGTTGTTAGCTGCCCAGAGTTATGTATGGGCAGTCATATAAATTTTCTCAATAGATAAATAAATAAAATTATATTGCCCTTGGCATGGATTGACTAGGCTTAAAAGGCACACGTCTTGAGATAATTGTAGATTGGCAGGCTATAGTGACTCTTTGATTCTCTTTTTTCTAAATTAAATAAAGGGAGTTACTGTAAGACAGATGTTTGTTGGAGTAAGTACACTTGTTGAGATGCTGCCACAGCTCATTCTGTAAGAGGGAACCTATGAGCTTCATTTTTTTCTTGCTTCTTCTGTTGGTGTTGTGGAGATAATTGCAAAACTTCATTTGATTGATAACTTTCATATTCTGTTCATATGTTCAAGTCAATTTCTGTCTCTGATACATAGGGATTTTGCTGGCAGATCCAAACAGAGTTTGGATCCAAGTGGCTACTGAGGCATCTCCTCTAATTAAGATGTCTAGAAGTAGCATCTGGTGTGGCTTTTATCTGAAAACGAGAGCAGTGGAAAAATGTTTGTAGGCATATGTTTGCTGAACAAAACATGGTAACCTTCTGGAGAAAGTCATATGTCCTTCTTATTTGCTGGTAGCTCCCTGGAGGATGATTTGCAACACAAAAGAAGTAAGACAGACCTTTTCTGCCAGGAGCCTACATTTGAATGTCAGAGATGGGAGGAAAGAGAGAGAGAGATCAGGAGGAGCTTAGTGGAGGGAAATGCACAATAGGAAGAGGTTTCAGAGGTTGCCTCAGCATTAGATCCTGATAATGCCTAAGTTGGTTCACCCCTTAAATAGGCAGACAGGTTATGATCCACAAAGTCAACCAAAGCCCCAACTGGTTGTATATAGCACTTCTGAGTAGCATATGTTGTTCTTATTTTCTGGTATTGTGAAACAAGCGTGGCTAATTCAAGGAGCCATATATCGCTCAGGCCTGCTCTCAAGCTTGAACCAAAGTTTCCCTGCTGGGGTTGTACTTCTTTCTCCATTGTTGCTAACCTCCCTGCAGCTCTCCCTTCTCTTCCCTGACCGTTATTGTGCTACCTTCTCTGAGCCTGAGTGGTCACTTGGAGCCTACTTAACGAGACTTTTGGATTGGAGTGCTATGGTTTGGGGAGATAAGGTACTGTGTTTACCGTTTTCTTGCTGAGAGAGCAGCTTTAATGTGGAAAAGGCAAGAGCGAGAGAGCACAGTAATTTAGTACTTCCAAAAGAACCTATCTTCTCCCCCATACTTTTTATTTCCTTCGTTGTTTCTTCAACACATCCTCCACATTTTCTGTTTAATTTTCAGCTTTCTGGGGCTAAATAATAAAGTGGTTGACTTTAAGAGAAATGTGGTTGTTCTTTCTGTATGAGGAGGAAACCAGCCTTCAGGCCAAACTGTTTGTAAACTTATGGATGCCAGCAAAGAATTGATGAGAGAAGAGGAGTGCAGTGGTCAGAAAAACAGATTGAGGTTCTCAGGGAAAGAAAAGAGCCTTGACCCAAGAGGGCAATTTCTTTGCAGAGAAATAAACATATATTTGGAAAGAACTGAGCAATTAAAAATGCCGAAGAAGCTTTTCAATCTTCCTGAAGTTTCGCTTGTAGCACATTGTGCCCAGCAGGAGATATAAATATTAATTTTACATTAGCACTTAGCAGTGGAAAGCTGCCACTCTTGATGCCAAGCAGTAAATTTGCAATGAATAAACTAATAGTAGTTGTAACTCCAAAGAGAAAGAGGAACTCTGCTCTTGCCACAGGAAGAAAGTGATTTATTCAAACTGAGAGACTAATTCTTAACAAGATGGAAGGATTTGTCTTTTAATTGTCAAGGTCCTGTATCCATATTCCCAAGTGAAACCAGCCCATGAATTATGCTTTTTGCCATGCCAATTTACATCCCCATCAGGCTAGTGTTGCCTCTCAAAACTGTAGCACTTAGGAGGGTCTGTATTTCAGGAATAGGGCATGTGTTTTCCATGTTGAAGTGCCCAAATCCAGCCCTTGATCTCTGCAGATAAAAAGTTTGCAAGTAATGAAAAATGCCTGTGCCTGAAATCCTGGACAGTAGAGTGGATAACAGAAGAAGAGAAAGAGCAGTGATCTTACTGCTGGATCACTTATATATGTTGGCTATTTAATGACTCGCACAAATGCAAATGAGGCATTCAGATAAAACTTTGAAATTTATTTATTTATTTAACAAACTTATATGGCCTATCTCACACAGTGATCCTAGACAGCTCACAACAACCAATAAAAACAATATAAAAACAAATCATACCCTTCCCAGCAGGTGCCAAACCACTCATACAGTAAACCCCCTGAATCAGCCCCACTCTATCCCAGTGCTTGGGGGCATAACAGTCTTCATGGCCTTCCAGAAGACTACAAGGGTAGGGGCCCCTGAACCTCAGATGGGAGACTCTTCCAGAGGGCCAGGATGGCTATAGAGAAGGCACCCTTCCAAGGTCCCACCAGATGACAGTATTTGAGAAAAGGGACCTGGAGTGTGTCCACCCTACCTGACCTAGTGGGATGGACAGATACCCTTAGGGAAAGGGAGTTCCACAAGTAACCTGCCCCTGTTCCATGTAGGGCTTTAAAGTGATAACCTGCACATTGAATTGCACCTTGACATTGCCTAGCATCACTTGAAATCTGTTTAAACCCTAGCTTCATTCTGATATCATGAAAAATTGTAGCTTATAATAATGAACTTGGATCATGGGGCTCGTGCATGTTCCCATCTTTTCTTTGTCATGGCTATGGGGATGATATAAACTTTCTCTTCCAATTCTGTTAATGGTTCTGCTTCAAGTTCCTGGAACAGCTGCTCTTAAATAATTGCCGTCAGGTAGTGGGGGTATGTTTAAGAGAGAAGGTCTTTTCATTAGTGGCCCTACGTCTCTGGAATAATGTTTTTCAGGGTTTTATCAGGTTTTCTGATTTTTAAGAAAACCCTGAAAGTACAAATTTTTGTTAGCTTTTTTCTTAATTTTTGAGTTGTTTTTATTGAATTATTGTTTTATATTTTTCTTAACTTACATACATTATTGGAAGAATTTCTTCCTCTAGAGTGCTCTGAAAATAATTTTAATTAGATAAAATTAAGTTTTTCATTTTTGTCCAAACATGACATAATTATTATTTATTATAAACAAACCACCTTTAAACCATGTAATATAAACTTAGCTTGTTTCACCAGACCACACCTAAGATTAATCGCAGTTTAGGTTTTCTGCAGTGTATTAAGCTGCAGTTTAAAAAATTGAAGCAAAGAGTAATACAGTGGTACCTCGGGTCACAAACGCTTCTGTTCACGACCAATTTGGGTCACGAACAGCACCGTTCGCAAAATTTTGCTTCCATTCGCGAACGCCGGATCGGGTGATGAACAGGACCCGCGGCCATTTTCCCTGCC